TGTATGCGCAAGCACAGGTGTACTCTTTATTGCCTCACTCTCATAATCCGATGGGACGGTAAACCAACACGACCGGAGAGAAATCAGGCGCAGGACCAACGGCTTTACGTGCTTTCCGAGGCACGGGGTTGAGACACCGCCAACTTCCTGACTCCGGGCAACTACTGAGAATTTCTTGACGGAAAAACTCAATAATTAATTTTTGGCCCGACCCGGGATTCGAACCCAATACCTCATGATCAGCAATCGCACTACTACAACCACTAGACCAACTAGGCAGTCGTCTAAGTAATTAAAAACTGTGCTTACAGTGCATACTCTATATTCCATAATAAGCACAGAAGCTTAGAATATTAAAGACGGTTTTTGTAAGTACATAAACTACAAGTCTTTATGATCATGAAGAGGCGTTGTAAGATTATCCACTATCTCATATTGTCACGTAGGTGTCGTAAAGGGTGACAAAGGGGAACAAACCAGAAGATAGGCAGAAGCGTCTTTATAATAAAAAAAGTGCAATTGCCTACCCGCTTGCTAAGCGTGGCAACTATGGAAAATATTTCCCCCCTGAAGCAACTATGGCGGAGGCCTATGTTTGTTCAGCAGTGGACTTTCATAGATTGTAGAGGTAACGGTAACATGAAGTATGTAATATCGAAAAACACATTATTATCTCATTATTTTTTGTAACGAAGACTTTATCTACAAATTGTACGACTTAGGCCTCCCTGACCGTCTTGTCCGTCTCGTGGCCTCCTATTTGAAGGATTGTACCTTTCGTTTAGACACGAAGGCACGATATCCTCTCCTCGTCAAATCAAAGGCGGTGTCCCTCAAGGCTCTGTGCTTGTACCCCTCCTATATATACTATTTACTAACGACATTCCTATTCCGTTTAATAGTGTGAAACTAGCCCTCTTTGCAGATGACAGAGCCCTTTACTCTAAAGGCAACTCACTGCTACAGATTCGGGACAAGATTCAAAAGTCAGTTAGTGACTTAGGAGCTTGGTTCCAAAAATGGTGTATCGAAGTAAACCCCAAGAAGAGCTCTGCCGTTTGCTTTGAACATAAACGATGCTGTCTCACTGCCATTCTGCCAATCAGGATTGTAGGAACCCCTGTACCCCGGCAAACAAAAGCCAAATACTTAGACGTCACTTTTGATACGAGACTCACTTTTGAGCCCTATATCAAGAAAGTAACTTGCACCGCACGATTTTACATGGGCAGGCTCGATGGCATGTTGGGCAGACACAGTAAAATGTCCCTCCGCAACAAGTGAACCCTATATAAGGTCTGTATACGACCCGTTATGACCTACGCGGCCCCCTATTTTTGCTCATGCCCACCTTAGATTATAAAATGAACTTCAAACAGAAAAACCTCTTCGGCAGTCGGGCTACTAATGCACCCTATTACGTCCGTAACGCCGATCTCCACAGAGACTTAGAGCTTCCAATAATCCAGCAATTCTTGAAATCACTCTCTGAGAAATTCATCAAAGCCTCAGAGTACCACTCAAATCACCTCATTCGCGAGGCAGCTGCCTATGCAGCCCCACTTTGCACTCGCTATAATGTCCGCAGACCAATAAACTCTATCTCGCCCCCCCCCCCAACTAGCTGTCGGCCGACCTGAACTGCCTCCTGGTAGCTAAGGCCGACCCTCCACAATTCCTCCGATAATCTGCCGTAGTTACGACACTTCTAAGCGGTTACTCGCCGTTTGCACCCCCCTTTTACCCAAGGGGGGTCGCGTCAGATATGGCTTAAAAGATCTCTCGCTAGGTCAATAAGCCAGTCACAAAAGGTGGTGTTTAGTTGGTAAAAGTCTCCACATAACCACGCAGCCGGCTGCGGGATATACTATGAGCATTCACCACCTCCCTCCCCCGTTTACCGGAGGGTAGTCCTTATTTGCTTCTGGGCGCAAAAAAAATCTCAATTCGTTCTGGACTAGCTACATTTTTTTAGCTTCAAAGCAAGTAAGAAAACGAAATCAGGAAAAGTACAGTGAAAGTAGAGAAATTTCGGTATTACATTTCCAAGAGGTATTTACGAACAACTGATGTTTTATTCCGCCAGTTTCTACCCTAAAGGTAGGGAAGTAAGAAGATATACAGTCCACTAAGTATATGTCTGTACCGGGACCATGCCTTGTGGACTGTAATCTTAGTCGTCAACCATTTTCTTTTAAGAAACGGGTTTGTCGCACGGAGTTGAACGTCTGTGGTCACGACCACCACCTTACCCCGAAGACCCGTGTCTCATAAATTCGTTGTGGTAGGGACTTCGCAGCTCGATGATGAAACTAGCCAAAGGAAGAGGCGCGAACGCCGTTTCCCTTTTCCGGTTGTTATGAACCAAGTCATGTACAGCATAGGCAGAGGAAGACAACCATGTGTTTTAGTATTTATATTAAAAAAGATATAACGTAAACAGTTTTTCTTGAAAAAGTTAAATTTTGAAAATACATCAACTTTTGCTAGTTTTCACAAACTTTTTTGACGTGTCTATGGGATGCAACGCTTCCACGTTGGTATACATACTTGACCTATGTATTTAATGTTCGTTTACGTCAGACACTATTGTCGCTTTTTAGCGGACGCACAAGTACAAATCGATTTACATAACGACACCTCCTACGTATAATATCGTAACTGCACTTTATGAACTTTCCAGTACAGCAATTTTAAGATGAGTAAGTAGTTTTTTGATGCTCACTTAGTCCATTTACGTCGTTCAAGAACCAAACTCGGCATGTAGGTAGACAATTATGAACTAAATTATATTTTTAGAAAGAATATTAAAAATTAATACCAGAATGGGTAAAAAAGTCACTTACGATTCTTTTCTTTGGGAAACAAATGTCGTAGTTTATTGTAGGTAGTACTTACTATAATTTACGTTGAGTTTCATAAAATAAAAAGTATCGTATATTGTATTTACGACAATTTACATCTATGTAAATAGAATTAAGTAAATTGTAATTCATAGTTAATATAATTTTCTAGGGAATAATGTTGTCATGAAATATCGTAAATTATGGAATACTGAAATAAAATTACCATCGTTACTAAAAATATAATGCATTTCTAAATAAAACCAGTTCAAAGATAAATCTCTCTCAAAAATGGTACTATGTATATGGCTCACTGAGATCATTACTTATTATTATCTAAGAAATCAGATCAGAAATAAAATAAAAGGAAAAATTAATTAGAATTGGAATCAGAAGTTGAATTTAAGTCATTGCTAATTTCGGGCAGACTTTGGAAAAATTGGTGATGGGCATGGGGAATAATTTGTGATTTGCACATGTTTAACAAATCATTCTTCTTTGCCTTTGGAATTGGCAGCATATTGTCGTAAGGCATCTACGTTAGAGACATATTGTCGCCTAGTAGAGGCCTTTACAATTAAAACGTAGTAATCATCGGCGGCTAAATCATATTTATAAAACAACTTAAAGGGATCTTCAGGTTTTATGCAAACCTCTCTTATTTTATTCCATTGCACTTTATTCCCGTTGGTACTTTTGACCCAAGCGCCCTTTAATAATGCCTTATAATCGGAAAAGTCGGTGTATTGCATTTCCTCAACCGCGTAAGGCTTTCCGTTTTGCTTAGCCCAACGAACTAAACAATACCACTCAAATGGTGTATAAATGAGTTTGTTTTTTGCGGACCTCTCTATTAAAGCGTGGACTCATTTTGCGTATGACCAACTTCTAAAAAACAATTGTGTATTTTAATCTGATATGTAATAGCCGCATGCATGTACATAGCATAAACAATACGATTTCGGTTTTGGCCAACACAATTGTCAGACCAAAACCTAAACTCACTTGTACCATGATCCTTATATTTGGAGATGTATTTAAATAAACAACTTGCTACCTCATTGGCCCCACGTTTTGCTTGCCCCTCATGCCACATAAAACAAGTACCTTCTTTTTCGTTTAAATTAAAAACAGTGAAATTGAATACTGAAAGCTTTCGTTTATAGTAAAAAACGCTTATATTACCATATGGACAAGTAAGAACTTTTTGAAAGTCAAAAGTAGTTACTAATAGTTTATTATTAGAAGATTTGGCTAATTCTTTATCGGCCGACTTCTTTTTACAAGCTATTTCTTTATTTTTAATATGTTCTTCGTGTAATTCTGTTTGTGATAATGTAGGAATAGACAGGTTCTTGTAAATGTGGCATATGTCACATTGATCTTTTTTTGGCACGTGGAAACTTATCTTAAAATGTTTGTTAGCGATATCGCGATATTGCCGTTCCGTACTAGCTTTTGAGGAATATGCGAGTGTGTGAAACCACTCATTATATAAATCAAAGAAGCGATAAAAATTCAGGTCTCCGTCAAAGTATAGTTTATTACTTTTACTGCGGGTGTAATGAGATTCTACAGGCTGAAGTTATTTTATATGATCGCATACACTTTTTATAATATCCTCTGTTATTACTTTACGATGGTTAGGATGACATCCTCGCATGTCAGTTCCTATCAAACCACTTATATTGTTTCTTTTTTCCAGGGATGTGTATACAAATTGTTCACTAATTGAAAAAGTATTCAGAAACATTTTCTTACACACAGTTAAATAGTTTTCTTAATTGTCTATATCTGCTCTTGATAGCCTATAAATTAAAGTGAAATTACGTCTAGATTATGTGTCAGTAAACACCCTGCGTTTTTTTGTTTTACAACCATTGATGAAATGAAAGCCCATTGCTTTTCACGATTACCTAAGCCCCGAAAAGTATTAAAAATCATAAGTCTTTCTTCATCGCTAATTTTTGATGAACATTTCAGTCTGCAGTTTGTATGACACACAGGACCCATAGATTTGCTGTTTCTTACAGTACCATCACGACTTTTTTACTCCTTGCCCAAGTTTCTTAGAATTTTTCTTTTATTGTCCTTCCATTCCGTAACATGTCGACGTTTGATACTTCCCTTATCTTTCCTTAGCTTGAAAACCCATTTTCAAGAAGCTTGTTGTGTTGCTTCTAAGTAAGAAGAGAGAGGCGTGTTTGCTTGAGGGGTATATGCTAAGTCGGTGATATTGGAATCAACTGACTGTAGAGGTAAAATATCTTTTTCAACAAACCAGGGACAGAAATGGTTATCACAATCAAAATCTATATGATTTAAGCTACAATCGGGAGATGGATGTTGTGTGATATTTTCTTCAGCCGGAGAATCGTCAGAAAAACCTGAAATAAAAAATGTCAAGACTATTTTTAACTATCGTGCAAAAGAACACATAGGTAATAAAACATTAGATTAATATTGTTTGGCGATATTTAGATACTGTTGCAAGTACCAAAATATCTAGAAATAATCAATATAATAATAAATGATAAATATCCCGATAAATAATATCATTCTAATGTTAGTGACCATGAAAGATTAAAGACATTTATTTCAAAATTAACTAGCGTTTTTAAATGATAGAAATAAACGAGTTTAAGCTGGTATTCAATTTTTTACAACTATCAGATCATTGCGGTTTGCTAATTATTGTTACTTACTTTGTTAAGTGATAAGTGAATTATTACGACTTTGACATATTATTTCCTCGGAATCAGATAACAAATTCATCATTTGATTTATTTCAGAAATATCTGCATCAGAAGGAAGCGGCGAATCTGTAAAAAAAAATAATCTAATTTATTATTTTAGCTTTTTTCTAAAAGTATACTGTTGTAAGTTAATTTTCATATCAAAGTAAAATATCGTAAGTGTAGCATAAGATAGATTTACCAAAAGTAACTCCGATGTGAAATATCGTAAGTACAAAATACTATTAATTTTTTTATAATTTTCCCTAGTTAAGTATCGTAAGTTTTACTTACGACAGTTTAAAAATATTTAAATGCAAAGTAGACTATAGTAAGTTCTACTTACGATATTTTACTGCGGGTATTACACGGTACTGTACGTAATAGTTATTTTATATTTTTTTCTTGTTTTTTTTTTAGTATTAAAACTTAATATTTACCTTCTTTCCGAATAGAATCATCAACCATAGGTTCGTAGCAACGCACACAATCATCGAGATTTGAATTATTAACGTCCACCATATTTTGCGAATCAGACACAACGTCTTTAATGACCGCATCAATCATTCGTTTCGACCTAGATGACCTACTTGAATATTATAGCTGTCACTGCACACAAAATACAAAAATAAATGCAAGTTTTTTGAATAATGGCGTCAACGGCAGCAGGAGTGCTCCGCCCCCGCTTAATCTGTAGCTACTGCTAGTTACTACACACACGCCGCAGCTCGCGATCCCCCCGCCCCCGCGTACAGTGTGGGTACACCATACGATACGTTTCTTCGATCTAAATGAACATACGATAAATTACAGTCTTAATATCTCCGGTACCATTTTAAATACAAATATTTTTTATAGTTTATATGACTTAGGGTGTTGTAAGTATTCAAAAATATATAAAAGTAATTTTCGCATATTTGTTGGTTACGATATTATGCGTAGGAGGTATCGATAATTAGAATTAGTAGAAGAGTTACGATTAAAGCTTTTATTAAAACTTTGACGTTGTTGCATATTATAATGTCGCTTTCTACATTGATCCATGGTGTGCTTTGTTTTTGGACAATAATTTATAAGAGAATTTGTTTATATTGATTAAAATTAGAATGTTTTTTTATTTTCAAAACATTGAGTAGCAACATGACCCACATTATTACATATGTTACATTGTTTTATTGAATCTTTCGAACACATTTAGAGATTTTGTAGTTTTTCTCCTTCTATCAAACCTGCATGCTAATGATGGCAACTTAATACGATTAAATTTACTTAGTAGATTTCAAAACACGTAACACTTTTATTGTCCCCAATAGAAGAACAATTTCAACTTCTGAGCTTTTTATTGCAAAATTATTCCATTTGTTTGTGGAAATAGGCTGCTGAATGTAATTGAACCACAAATCGTTTTCGGATTTATGATCATCTCTTATTATCAACTCCGCATTTTCATTGCCTGATTTTGAAACAATTAAAAATAATAGTATATAATATTATAATTTTCAACTAACTAACTAAGTAACTTATAAAAAATGCCTCCACATAAAAAATAAATAATGTTTTATTTATTGTTCCTTTCAGTTAAAAAAATACTATTTAGAAAATAACTGTAATTTAAAGAATGACCATCATTTTGACAATTCAATTAATGTTAAAAAATAAATTAGAGAAATTTGATGTGAGTTTTTTTTTTGTAATGGCGGCCAGCCTCAACCGAGACTAGCCATCGGTGCAGGACAGGATAACAGTGCCCAAGTGTATGCGCCAGCATGGGTGCACTCTCTATTCCCTCACTCTCATAATCCGAAGGGATGGTAAACGTACACGATAGAAGAGATATCAGGTGCAGTACCAACCGCTTTACGTGCTTTCTGAGGCACGGGATTGAGACACTGCCAACTTCCTGACTCCGGAAAGCTACTGAGAATTTCTTGACGGAAAAATTTAATTATTGATTTTTGGCCCGACCCGGAATTCGAACCCAAGACCTCATGATCAGCAGTCATACTACTTCAACCACTAGACCAACGAAGCAGTTAGCAATATTTGAGTAATATTTAAGTTTTGAACAAAAGATGTTAAAAATCAATCGAAACTAAACCCAGCACAACTACTCAATACACCACTACACTAGGAAAGACACCATACTACCGTCGCTAATACGACACGTGTTTAGGCTCAACATGAGGCATCCTCAGGTTAAGTAGACTCTGCGGTGGCAGACCCCTAAGTCACAGTTGCCTCGTGTGGACGCTAAGCTCCTAGTAGGTAAGACACATTTTTTATTGCGCGGAGCTTAGAAAATTGATTTTTAACATCTTTTATCTTAATTATTTGACAAATCCAATCTTGTTTATCATTTCAAAAATTTACAAAATAAATTACACTTCTTTTTTAATTTTGTAGTGAAACATTGTTTTCAATTTTGAAGTTTTCATGTCTTCAATAATCTAATGCTATATATTTACATTGTCTTTCCACGAATGTGCTTAATTCAATGCAGTATTTGGAAGATTACCTCGATACGTGGAAGATGCCGATTCTTCTACAGTGGTTATGTTACTCGCTTTCACCAGTCTTTGAAATTTAGGTTCATCGTTCTTGGACGGGTTTTCCACCATGAGTTGGTCGCCAGAATTTTGATTTAATTAGTGTTGTGTGATTTAATCGGTATTAGAAACAGGAAAATTAGTATTGGTACGAATTCTACACATTTTCCCTATACTCCATCTACTATGTAATTATGCTTAATTTTATTTTTCAATTGATTCCCGCCCGATTTAAGCCCATCGCAAGTCCACTTCTAAACATAGACCTCCTCATAAATTGCGAGAAATCAAAATTCTGAGCCAGTTGTATCCATCGGCTCCCTGTATTTTTATCAGGTCACCACTTCATCTAGAGGGTTGCCGTCCGAGACTGCGTTGGCCAATATGGCTTACTATATCTTGGTTGTGAATTTAGTAACGCATAGAAAATTGTACATATTACTTTCTGTTAGCCTTATAGTGGCAGTGTAAAAGAATCCATTAGTCCTATATCATCAAGTGGATACCGTAACAAGCAACAGAAGGAAATTAAACAGGAGATGGGCAGCAGCATCCGCCGCATAGCTAAACAACTGGACCAATATGTGAAATATACCCACCATGCGGCAAACCATAGAAGGCCCATGTCCAGCAATAGACTTTTGATAACTTTCTGTTAATACTCAAGCAATAGGTGGTGATGAATTCGTTTTCCTAATTATTGTGCCTCATGAAGGAAGCTTATACTTTTTTAAAGTGTAGGCACAGAACTTCTAATTTTGAATTATTTTTATACAAAAAAATATTAAATTTAGGGGTATGTAGCGCATTTTTTCATATATTAATACATGACTATAAAAATTAAATTAGTTCACTGCATTTTTTTAATAAAAAGAATACTAACTCTATTCTATAATCTTGGCTCTATAAGCTTTCAATATAATCTTCACAATATTTTTCTTTCATAACGTAACGTATTTTGTAGCTTAGTCGCTAAATGTATTATTCCAAGTCGCTGATACACAACGTCATACGTGTTTCCTCAGAGCTTGAGACTTTGAGACTGAGAAATTACTCGATAAATTTGGGTGGGGTTTCCCTGTGATTGAAGATTTTCTCGAGCACAGTTTTTGCTTTCATTCGTGCATGTTTTATATGGATAAAGAAATGATAGTATTAGGTAGAAAAATAATACCATTTCGTGGCTAAATTTTAAAAAACTAACGCCACACTGTTCAATTGCACCCGTTCGGAGCGGTGACAAATCGCTAGTAATTTTATTACGGTTTCAATTAAGATCGATCTAAACTGACTTCTCTTCCAGCAAAATTTAACTCAGTTTTATTTATTGCCTCGATACATAGTAATTTACTATTTTTGTGCACATCGTCTCTTAAATATTTTTACGTGAAAGTGAGTTTTTTGAGATCGTCTATATTTGCAAGGTTTCTCTACTACGTAATAGGTTGGGGAAAAAGTTTCATCGTGTTTTATTCGTATTTGTTTATAGTAGAGGGGGCAAACTTGCATAGGGCTCACCTGATGATAAGTGATTACTCCCGCCCATGAACAACTGCAACACCAGGGGAATTGCAGATGCGTTGCCGGCCTTTTAAAAAGAGCCTGAAGAGCTCTGCGCTGGATGCGATCAAATGGAAGGAGCTGGCACTACGGAGCCCCAGCCTAGAGATGGGAATAGTACAGGCATTAAATACTGTCCCGCTCTGCTGAGCGCGCCAAGCTTTTTAGAGACCAATTTGGCCTTCTCTTACCACGGAACTGCACGTCACTCGATATGTCGACGCCGAGGATTCCGATACTGGTTGAAGCAACAAGGGGTCTTGAAACTGAGGAGATACGACGAAAGAATTCGTTTTAATGGTAAACGCGCAAACTGTGTGCTCTGGGGATTAAACTGGACTAGATTTAGTCGCACCCAGTCCAAAACTTTGTTCAATACAAATTCTAGATTTCTGACACATGTTTGTCCCGGTACTTGGCGACGTTTCTTCGAGAAATATTGACACGAATGGTGTATAAAGCATCACCATTGCTGTCGTCTGCATCTGCAAAATCAATAAAAAATGTTTAAGAAAACGCTTGTCAGTGTCCTAATTGACAAAACCTATTATACATTAAATGATTTTGCATTTAATATATTTATTACATAATAATTATATTTCCCACATGCTTAATTTTCTTTTCTGAAATTCTGCATCCACTAATGTTTGTTTAAGTTGTATTGCATTGCATACAGTTATTTTTTGGTACTTACTTTAATTGTTTACTTTTAATTGTTTATTTGTTTACCTTTTTAAATAATTTTTACTTCGTAATTTGTAATTTGTTTTTTTTTTGTAATTTGTGCTTATGTATGCTCACAGGGTACACATAGCTGAACTTGATTATTTAATTATGTATCTAATATATATATAATACCTAAGATCGACGAAATAAATTAATGAAAATGCAAAGAGCTCTTGGCGTCCACTTTAACTTATATTAAAAAACGACTTCAAAATGAATTGTCACTTTTGGGGACTAAGATGAAATGCGCCACAGCTTTCAATAATGTTCTCTTTACGCTTCAGAGTGGAATAAGTAGTATACAGTCTGTTACGTCGGCAGAAATAGGTAACAGTGTGGTCCTTACCCAGTACCCAGTCCTAGGCATAGAAGGAGCTCTAGAACCTGGAAAAAGCTGTTTTAAATAGATATTATTAGCTTTGGTATTTATTTTTACTTCAACATGATATGGTATTTAATTCAACTAAAAATATATAAATTAGTAGTAAAAACAAGTAAACAATGTAAAAAAACTAGACAATTTTTAACTTTTTATGAAAACATCATAAAATCGTCGCTCATAAATTTAAGGAGAGACGCAAAGGAAACAGTCGTAAATATTGTAGTGGTTTCCCTAGAAAGCCTATTTATTTAAGAAGGTTAATATAACACACTTTACTGGGTTATAAATAAAACCCCCAATACTTAATGTTTATGGCTTCTTGCATACTGAAGGAGACCTAACAAATTCTGTGT